AACTTTTGTAAAACTTAATTATATTTATGAATAGTTTAAAACTTTTAAAACAAAAATGCTAACTATAAAGAATTTTTATAATTTAATAATATATACTAAAAATATATAATGATTGACTAACTATATCCATCATATTCATTTTTACAGGTTATATGATGTCATCTGCTGTTAATGGATCATCTTTTATTGCACAACATAAATATATTGGATTGGGGCCTGTTTCCTATCAATATCAAAGTGTGTTGCATACTCCTCACCACCTACCATTATTTGATGTCACAAATGGTTTATTCTTATTCCAATCATAGTTTAATTGGCAAAACATAGATTACGTAGTTATCAGAGTGTGTTGCAAACAAATAATATAGTGTACAAAGAGATGTTTAATAATATAAAATTTTATATTTTCTATATTGTTTTGTATTTTTTATTCACACAAATAAATTTTAAAAAAAAGTATTGAGCAAAATTGACTGAAAATTGTTCACCCCGTGCATCGCACGGGATCCGTACTAGTAATAAATACATACAAAAGAACATGTTTGCCTAAAAAAAAAAAAATTGTGAACAAAGCATTTTTATACTTGGGTCGAAAATAAACTTAAAAGTGGGCTTGGTCTCCTTTTTCTAGGGATATTTCTACTTATCCTACATGAAACTTAAAATTTTGCAAATTTACCACCCATAAACAAATAATTGTGTTCCTATCTACTTGTCAATATTTAATTACATTAATACTTAAAATTTAGTTACCTAAAAAGTAGGCTCATAATTTACAGCGTTTCCAAACAAAATTCAATTACATTTAACTAACTCATTTAATTATGTCCATATGGGTATATGTTGCATTTATGTTGGTATATATATTCAGTATATGTACTTATGAAAAACATGTATTCCATAAAAAATTATGTTTTTTTTTACTTATATATATAAGTATATATATAGTTTATAAACATATTATAACATGTTACTTTTATTCTTCTAATATATATACAGACAACATATACTAAACTGTTTACAAAGATCTTCTAATATACTGTACATATACTCCATATACACACCACATATATCGCCTTACAAAAAAAATCTTCTAATGTAGCGAACATATACTCCCAAAATACACCACATATACTGCCCGCACTATATATTGCCGTAAATATATATTATACATATACTGTTCTTGAGGAATCACAAATAAATTGCTCCCCACGTCAAATTTGATACAAATCACAACTATTCTTTGTACTTTCTTTAGAAATAGCTAAAATCGTAACCATTGAAATCGAATTGGATCTGCAGCTTAACAACATCTACAAAAACGTGTTACAAAAATCGAATCCGATTGGGCGGTCACCGTCTAGCCGACCCTCTGCCTTTTGAATCTCTATACCATACGCTATCCGCCGGTCACTGTACAACATCAGTTCGAGAAATTGACGTCAGTCCGCACCGCTTTCAGCCGTTGATCACTGCTCCTCTGTCCGTCACCTAGCATCGTCCACCATCAAGATCTGCAAAATCGGGATGGAAATACAAGAAAAGGGTGACGAAATTTTTGTGTTTTTGAAAAGAATTTTGAAGGTGGCTATTTAATTTTGAATTTGGGAATTTATATCTGCACATTTATGAGGAGAAGCAGATGAGATAAGTAAGAAAGGAGAGAAGAATTGTCGGCGAAGAAAAAGGGGAAGATAGGAAGGGTGTTGGATAAAGAAGGTAGTATAATTCCAAATAAAAATTAAGGTCCTGGCATAATTGCAAAGAAAAAAATATAGTTAATATATATATACAAATAAAATTGATTTCGATTTTATGTAGGGTAAATTTCTCCTTTTTCTAGTGTCACATAAGCTAGACCAAGTCTACCTTTTATTGCATTGGAATACATCTTTTTATAGACTTAGTCTATTTTCTATATGGCACTTGATTTTTCCTTTAAAAGACCTAAAGCATTGTCGGTGCTCTTAGTGCCTTAAGAAATTTGAATTAAAAACAAATAAAAAAACGAAGTAGGAAAAGTTAAATTAAAAGGCCACCTAACCCACTCATAAGGGCCGGTTATGGGGGTCCGGTTGGGTCTTAAGGACAGAAAGGCCACAAAAATGGAGATGGTTTCACTAGTCCAAGGTCCGGCTGAATGTTTAAGGAAAAATTAACGAGATCATGGCGATCAGAGTTTTACGCGATTAAACCGAAAATTCTAACGGCGATCGGTATATAAGACGAGCATATAATATTATATCATTCAATCAATAATATAATAATAAGAAATTTTATTAAGGCATAGGAAAAATAAAAAAAAATCCATAATTCAAACGAGGCACTACAACTTAGTATTATTACAACATTTATTTATTAGCTAATCATCAAGTAAAAAAAAACTAAATACATAATTATAATTTTAATTTATGAGCATGTTTAGGCGGTCTTCTGACCAGTCCTCCCAGTTTATTCAGCTTTTGGCTGCGGCTCTTAGTTGTAATTTGCACATTTGTTTTGTTCTATATAATTCTCTATCGTTTCGGGGAAAAAAAATCTAATTGTCATGTAAACCGTTAGTTATAACATTTTTTTAATGTAATAAACTGAAAGTAATTAACAGATGAGCTATTGTGTGGTAAAATTGATTTAGAAAAATCTAGTTACTACATTAAAAACGGATTTTTTCCAATAAAAACTTCAGGTAGGGGTGAACATGGATCGGTACCGTTCGAAAATTGAGATATCTCCGGAACCCTACCAAAATTCGGGATGACTATTTCGATCTCGAGAACCGTACCAAAAAATGTGAAGACGGTTCGGTTTGAAGATTCTTAATTTCGGTTCAGTTCGATTTGATATTCGAGACTATCGGAACGGTTCGGTTCGAATCTTCAGAGATTCCTTATTTTTTTTTTGAGTGACTACCTAACTATATTTTAATTATTATATACTTTAAAAAAACAACATTCCCCAATACTTCATCATATTGAAGATTTTTATTTTAAAATCAACTTTAGAAGTAACTCTAGAGTTTAGTTATTTAATTTTTATATGCTTTTAAAAAACCAACATTCATCAATCGTTCATCATATTAGAGAATTTATTTTGAAATCAACATTAGAAGCAATTCTAAATTTTAGTTAAGAATAAATTTGCGCAACTAATATAAAAAATTAAAATACAATCAAAATAAATATAGTTTTTTCTTAAAAAATACTCTTAACCTTTCATACCATTTTAAATAATATTTTTATAACTGGAAAAATTCAATTGTAGATCAAGCATTACTAAGCATTAAATTTGGAACTTAATTATTTATTAAGGGTAAATGGGTACATGTACACCTTAGATGTAATCCAAGTGGTACACCAAGAGGTACAAGTAGCATTATTCTTATTATTATTACTATATTTTATTTGCATTTTAAAAATTGTCAAATCTATATATATAAAAAAAAATTACCATTTACTAAAAATAGTATCAAAAATTTAGGAAACATTTAATGCATACTATTATTTAAATATATGCATTAATTATTTTTGTTTACATTTTTTTCAAATAATATCAAGTAACATATGATCAAATAATTACTTAAATAAATTTATTAATATCTGCAGTATTTTCATTAATATTTATTATAATAAATTACAAGATTGATTTTCGTGATTCATATTGATAATATTTTGGTCAAGATAAATATTATTTTATTAATATTTGTAATACTTTCATTGATATTCATTATAATAAATTACAAGATTGATTTATGTGATCTATGTTATAATATTTTGGTCAAGATAATATTACACCATATTTTAAGTTCTAACCATAATTTTAGTTTTTTTTTTTTTTTTAACAAATATTCACTTTTTTATCCAAAAAATATTTATGGAAAATCGTAACAGGTTGGGTAAAATTTTTTTTCCAAATAATCTGACAAAATCAAGTTGGTGAATTAATTTTTGTCAATATATTTGTTTCTTAAGATTTATTTTGTCAAATATAAAAAATAAATCGTTATTCAAATTAATATAGTTTACCATTTAAGAGATAATGACCAAGTACAATAAATAGTTTTACTAATGGTAAAAATTTAAAATTGAAACATATTAATTATTGTTTAGAATTTATTCGTACATTATTGGCACCCATGATTATATTTTTTTCATTTTTTTATTTTGATTTATTTCTATAATTAAATTCTTGTAAAATATATTTTCATTGCTGAGTATGTTAAATAAATCATAAATCCTTATAATGTGAATTAGAAAAATCTTGATCATAGAGGGGATCGAGTTTTTGCCATTTTATAAATCAAAGTTGTTTAATTAATATACAAAATTAAATTCTAAAAAAAATGTGTATATTTCGTAAAATATTTATACACTTTTTAATATTAAATTTATTTACATATTTTAAATTGATTACATAAATAAATAATACCAATGTGCATTAAATATTTTTTGTTATATAAAATAAAAATAAAAAGAAGACGTACTTCTATAACTTTATAAATAATAATGAGTTATATAGGATCAAAGTTGACATAAAATATATTAAGAACACACATCTAATAATATTATAATTAGGTTCTTAATTTCGGTTTTTCGATTCGGTACGATATGTGACAGTTTGGTTCAGTTCTCCGTACGGATATTATTTAAATCTCCAAAACAGTATTAATTATTTTTTCGGTCCAGTTCGATTCAGAGAAAGTCAAACGATCAACAGTTATTTTTCGAGCTGATTAAAACGGTTCGAAATTCTACGAGTGTCATGCTCAGAGCCCTAGTATTATTATAACATTTAGTTTTATTTAGCTAATCGTCGAATAAACTCGCAAAGAATGGCTGGGAACACTGATTGCAGAATGAGCCGTCAGCCGTGCACATAGCCATGGAAGCAGGTTGAAACGGTGCCATGTCCTCTCTCTCATTGAATATCAGCAAGAATCTAACTAGTATCCTCCGTTGCTTAATATTGACAATCTGCAATAATAGCTGAATTCAACTTAAAAAATGTCCGGGTTCGACATTCGGTCCGAAAATTCGCAAATGGTTCTAACTGTTAGTTTGAAAAACCCAGTCTTCAGCTCCGGTGGGTTGTTCTTGGACAGAAGCACGATTCCTGCGTCAATTGTCAGTGCAATATCTGGTGAAGGTGGCTTCAGTGATTGCTCGGTGAGCGTGAGGCGGAAGCGGTGGGAATTTTTGTGTTTGAGCTGCTCAATTAAGGAGAAAGATGGAGCGGCGAACAATAATTCATCTGAACGTACCGCAGCGAGTGGTGAAACTGAGATGGTAAAGGCAGGAAATAGAATGCGAGTTAGGTTAAGGGGACGGGGGGCGGTGAATACCACAAAGCATTTGTGGGCCGGAGCTGTGGCTGCCATGGTTTCGAGGTAATCCTATTTTCTTCTCTCTCTCTCTCTCTCTCTCTCTCTCTCTCTCTCTCTCTCTCTCTCTCTCTCTCTCTCTCTCTCTTTGATGTGTCTGTTTGTTTGTAGTGATAGGACTTGGTACTAACTGACTTGTTCCGGTTGTTTTGAGTTTCTTCGGAGTTTCAGGGGCTTCAAGAGTTGGATTGTTTAATTTAATTATGCAATGGGAATAAGCAAAAGAATTGTTAAATGATTTTGTCCATTTTAGTTCTTGTTTCTTATGAATTGAAGAGATATATTTTTCATTTAGTTCGGCTGGTCTGGTGCTTCTGCAGTTGTATATTATAAATAGCTGGAAGTTCATATTAATTCCAACAATGAGAAGCTACACTTTTTGAGAACTAATCGTTTTTGTTGGGATGATTTAATCATGAACTTACTAATGCAGTTCTCATTTTACCATAAGAATATATAGAGAGGAAAAATGTGCTAATATTTTGTTGTCTTACAGGACATGTTTAGCTCCACTTGAGAGGCTAAAGTTGGAGTATATAGTCCGTGGTGAGAAGAGGAACCTCTTTGAACTTGTTCATAAAATAGCAAAAACTCAAGGCGTAAGAGGCTTTTGGAAGGGAAATTTTGTTAATATACTTCGTACAGCTCCTTTCAAGGCGATCAATTTCTGTGCTTATGATACATATCGAAAGCAGCTACTCAATTTATTTGGAAATGAAGAAACCACTAATTCCGAGAGATTGGTTGCTGGTGCTGCCGCTGGTATTACAGCTACGGTGCTTTGCCTGCCGCTTGATACTGTGAGTAACGATTTATAACTTGTTCCTTATCGATTTTGCTATTATTTTGAGTCACTTTTTAGCTGAAAGTTGAGAGAACTTCTATAGCTCTATTAAATGTAAAGATAAGTATGATTCTAAAATTCAAACCGCTAATTTGGGTGTCATCCATACACAATGTATCAGAAAAACATGTTTATCGTCGATGAATATTGGTATTATTGTTGTTGTAGTTGAGGAATAATTTCAAATGAGTTGTAAAAATGGTTTCCTGCTGCCAAGTCCAGGCACTTTAGGAAATCAAGAACGTCTACCAAGCTTCAAGCTAATTTTGACCTTTCACTCGTGCATGTTTTGGAGGAAAATTTATTGAAAGAACAGGCGAGGAGAGAAAGGGAGATGACAATGGTTTTTCTAAATTTGAATGAAGCTGTAGAGAGGTATGGAAATGAATTGGAATTAAATTTTAATTTTTTTCCCCTTTATTCTCTCTCGTTGTGTTTTTTCAACCAAAGAATAAAAAAGAGAGTGAAAATAGTAGCAAGTGTCGATCAATTGTCAACTGAATTTATTCAACTATTAAATTCTCTCTGGTTATGCCTAGTAAGAGTAGGAAAGTTAATGGGATAATCTGGTGGAAGGTGGTTCTGAATGATCATCCCTGCATCTGCTCTTGCTGTTACCATTTGGAAAATAAAAGTCCTCTTATGATCACTCATCAATATATGCGCATTCCAGATCCGAACTAGGCTGGTAGCACCTGGTGGAGAAGCCCTTGGTGGTGTTATTGGAGCTTTCCAGCATGTGGTCCGACATGAGGGGTTTTTTTCTCTTTACAAAGGATTATTACCCTCAATTCTAAGCATGGCCCCCTCTGGGGCCGTCTTTTACGGCGTGTACGACGCGCTTAAATCAGCTTACTTGCATTCACCTGAAGGCAGGAAAAGGATTCAGAACATGAAGCAGCATGAGCTGAATGCCTTTGAGCAGCTGGAGCTTGGACCTGTCAGAACGCTATTGCATGGTGCTATTGCCGGGGCTTGCGCGGAGGCAGCTACCTACCCGTTTGAGGTCCTTAGGAGGCAACTCCAACTGCAGAGCCGGGGGGCTAAACTGAGTACGGTCGCCACTTGTGTACAGATAATTGAGCGGGGTGGGGTCCCTGCCCTTTACGCAGGTCTTATACCAAGCTTGTTACAGGTACGCAACGTGGGATTGGTTTCTTTCCGTCTATTGAAACTATGATTATGAAATTTTTGGTTATAGTTGATGTATTTATTATACTCAGTCAGGTTAGAACATTATATGGTAATATGTAAAATGGGAAGTCGGCTTAGGACTAGTTTATGCAGCTGTTTGCACGCTTTGTGGCTGTGAATGGTTTTCACATTAACTTCTGGAGGTTAAGGAGGATTGGTTCTTTTAATGCTCTGTTCGGATGTCAGATTTGATCGAGGAATGTCTGTCCTTTCACCTTTGTGTAGTTGACAGGAAATATGAATAGAGATTGTTACTATTATAATTGTTCTTATGGAAGATTGAAATGTATTATTGAAGAAGAAAAAAAAAAAGAAAAAAGAAATTGGCATCACAACTAGAACTCCATGAAATCTGAACAAGGCTTGATTTGCATCCTTTAAGTCAACAGAATCTCTAAATTCAATTATCATTTTACTATGAAGATCCTGTTTTTTTTTTTTTTTTTTTTTTTTTTTTTTTTTTTTTTTTTTTTGTCCATCTTTTTCTCTTGAATATTATGCAAAGGTTACTAATAAATGAATAAGGTTAATCTAACAAAGACTGAGGACTTTAAGTAATGGACCTTATCATAAATTGCAGAAAACGTGCTACTTGTGAATGGATGAGTTCACATATTAGTGAACTGGATTAACCTTATCGTATTAGCTTTAGAGGTTCAAGTTAATATCACTTTTAGGCATTTGTTTATTCTTATAGGAATGCCTTGCTACTGTAACGCTGTTTAATATAAATAGGCTATAAATAAACATTTTGCTAGGAGACTGATGTTTTTTATAGATGAAGAGGACAAAGGTGAAAAAAAGAAAATTCTATACAAATTGCAAAATTAGAAATTCCTAACAGACTCGAGGCTAAGCTATCCTGCTTCACTTGGTTCATTCTGAGGAGCTATCAAAACACATCATGTCAATCAAATGGACCTACACAGACACCTTTCCTACCATTAAATGAAGTTAATAGTCTACATATGTGAACCCATGCAAGCTAAAATATAACCTTTATCCTTATAGTATCAGAATGTTTTATTTATAGTTTTTAGTAAGGAACTCGTAATTTTGGGTTTTGATGTTGAACTTATCAACTGAATATTTGATCCACAGTTACCAAATACGCGAGCTCTTGTATGATGGTTTTACCCAACTGCAACCAATCAATCAATGCTCTGAAACAATTGATCTCTTTCCCTTATACTTTATTTTTACTTAAGTTCTAAATTTTACAGATCACCAGACCAAGATCAGTGAAATGTTCTGATGTGTAGCACTCCAGTAATTTGGTGAATGTTAGGATATTGATCATATAGAGATATATGTTTGGATCCTTGATGGTGACAAATGAGCAACTGATTTGTAAGCAATAAAGTAATTCACTTGTGGTTCTTCTCAGTAGAATCTGTTACTCACATCATTTGTGGTTTGTTTATCTTATTGAGTTTCTACAGTCTTGATGATTAACAGACAAGAATGAGTGCTTTAAATGTAATTATCAATAATGTCTGTAAATTTTTAATGTTATTTGTTGTCGTTGTTGATTAAGAAATATAGTTGTGATTTCTTGTTAACATTGCTCTTTATCAATGTCTCAAACCCTGTTTATTATGATCCGTCAGGTACTACCTTCGGCATCAATAAGCTTCTTTGTCTACGAGTTCATGAAGATAGTTCTTAAAGTGGAATGATTAGATGAAATTACGGCAAAATTGGCACAAAGTCCTTGAATTTTCAGATGATGCAATTGGTGGTGAAGAGTAGGATATTACATCTGTTACCTACTACCGTATCTCCTTGCGGCAAGATGAATTTTACCATCTTAGTGATTTTCTTGCTCATTTGATGCATATTCTATGTAATACATTCTTTGATTCAGTACATATATATCATCTTATCATATTAAGGTTTCATGTTTTATAAAATAACTCTTATCCATCAACACTAGATTTATTGAGAAAATTACCTCATTATATCATCACCATATTGGGTAGTTTCGACCCTACCCTACTAGAAGTGTCCTCACAGGGGTGCTACCAGCAATTATATTTTTGTTATCACCAATGTTGTGTAGATTAGACATTTTATCTTGAAGCTAATTGTTTTATTATACACGAAAAATTAGCTATTCTTTCCAGACATATCGGCTAGAGAAAGTGTTTCTGAAAGATTGTCTACTAGGTTCTCCTATGATTAAGAGATTTCTTTAATTTGCATAAAAATTTTATTTTGAGTTTTTTCCTTTAGCTATACCAATAACCCAACGTTCTTTTAGAGGTATTAATTTATAGAAGGTTTTTTCTTCTATTGAACTTATTTCTTAAGAGATATTCTCTAGTTTAATATACTTTTTTATTATAATCTATACTGTGATGAATATTAGTCAAAGCATAGCTTATAACATAAGTAACACTAAGGTCTTGATTGGTATAATGAAATGGAATGTTGTAGGAATGGAATGAATTGAAGAATGAAATGATTATGGGAATGGAATGAAACAAGTTTTATCATTGATGCGTTTGGTATGCAGAAAGAATAAGACCTGAATGAAATGACATTATCATTTTTTATTATAAAAATAAATAAAAACTTTTCTAAAAAAATAATATATTTTTAATAAATTATATAATAATGATTTTCTAATAATATATAAAAAATAAAATAATATATTTTTAATAATATATAAAAATAAAATAATATACTTTTTAATAATATTAAAAATAATACCTCCTGGCACTTTTAGGATATGCTCTTCGTTGGTCCTTAGGGCATGCACATTGGTACCAATTTTTTACATTCATTCAATAAAAAAGTTATACTCTCTCTCATCCACATCATCTTTCCACCAAATCTCACTCCATTTAAACACACACCCACATTCATACTCATTCATTTAAATACATATATGGGACTCGTTATCCACTCATTCAATATAATTTTCTATATTCTATCCACAATAAAAATAGATTTTAATACTTTTAAATTATAACAACTAGTAATCCCCCGTGCGATGCACGGGAAAATTATAATTTATGTGCTTTTTTGAAGGTAATTTGTATATAGCCATAATAAAATTGAAAAGACATGGCTAATAATAATAATAATAATAATAATAATAATAATAATAATAATAATAATAATAATAATAATAATAATAATAGTCAACTGCAATAACATTTGTTGAATTGGATATAAAATAAAAGAAATGCTATAAGTACATAATATTGTACATACGGGCGTAAATAGCATTCATATTGAGTGAGACCCACCAAAAATAAAAAAATCAAGTGAGCCCCATTCCATATGAGTATTATGTACACCTATATGTACATTTATTATATACTTGTAGCATTTTCCATAAAATATATCAAGTATTCAACTATGTTCCATAACATCGACACTAATTAAACAAACATTAGGCCATAAGTCCAGATTTTCAGGGTTTTCATTTCATTTTTTCCTTTCCTTCCCCGACCAATTCTCTATGTCGTGTCGGTCGTCTCTGTATTTTTTTAATTTTTTTTTTTTTACCTGCAGAAAATGAATGTTTCTAAACAAATCGATCACATATATTGTGATTCGTACATTTATGTTTGGATTAATTTAAAATAAGAATTTGAACAAATTGTGTTTTGATTATAAGATAAGTCCAAATGATTTGAAAAATAATTAATTAGTTAAGTCGTTAAGATTTTTTATCCGTGTAGAAAGATGACCAATTAGTACACATGTGTCATAATTAAACGTCATTTTAAATTTTTTGAATAATTGTGATTTGATGATAAGATAAGTTAAAATGATTTAGATAATTAATCAATTGATTGAGCTGTTTAGATTTTACAACGTGTTTTAACTTGCCCATTACACGTGTTTCCTCATTCACTCAATTTTTGTTAGTACTATAACATGATAAACTATATTATTATATTATTTAATGTCAAATATTAAGGACTCTTATACTAATTATGTTGTTTAAACTTGTTTCAATTATGATAACCGAGATAATGTACATGTCTTGTTTAAATTATGATAATATAAGTGTACATGAACTGTATTATAAATTATTGGTTTATTTGTTTAGAAGTTTAATTAATGTGGAAACTTTATGATAAGATTGGTGTGGAATTTTCATAAATGCAATTCTAATGTGGTCCTAAAATATTTGATTTTCTGTTAAAATTTCTATCAATTGTTGGATTGACTCAAATATCAATTTTTTAATTAATTTATTTTGAAGTTCGATTATTATGGCTCTTACCCTTATCTTTGAAAATTTGAAAATTTGAAAAGCCTTATCTTTAGGTTTTATTAGGGTTCTTATCCATTATTTTAAATAGTCTAAACATAGAAAGTCAACTTATTTATTTATTTGGTCAAAGTTTCTAAAAATGAATTTTCCAACAAATTGGATAAATTAACAATTGTTACCAATGGAATTGGGCCTAAATTGGATGTTAAACGTATTGTTTGAAAAAAGGGAAATAGCTCGGGTTTGGATTTTTGCCCAATACACATTATGTTAATTTATTGCTATACAACATAAACAACGATCGAACGGTCTACAATTGTTGAATCGATCTAACGGACATAAAGCGAAGTTTACAACTATAAATAGCTAAGATTGCTGATAATGTAGGGTTTCCATTATTATTTTTGCTTTTCCCGACGCGCGTTTCTCTCCTCTTTATCTCCTCATTTCTGTCAGTTCATCTACCATTTTTCATATATTTTTCTTTTCTGCAGAAATGTAACAGATCTTGTAAACATTAAGATTACACATGTTGTAATTCTTATGTGTATGTTTAGAAGGTTGAAACTGTTAAATCATGGTTTGTTTGTTACACATACATCGGTTTTTGTTTTTATTTTTTTTAAATTACTTGTTTTTGTTTTTGCTTGGAATTTATTTTAAGATCTGAGCTCGATTTTTTGAAAAATTAAAATTCCGAGAAAATTATTCATGCTTTATTTACGGTTTTGGTGGAATTTTTTGATTTCAAGTCGAAAAATATGAAATCGGAAAGGACGTACTTCGTTATTATTATTTATTTTAGGATTACAGCTCGATTTTGAAGAAACCATGAAAAATCGAGAAAATTAATGATGTTTTATATACGAATCTGGTCGATTATTTTGATTTGAAGTAAATATATATGAAACCCGAAATGAATTAATTCGTTATTACTATTTATTTTATGATCTGAGCTCGATTTTGAAGAAAAATTTAAAATCTGTGAAAATTCATCATGGTTTATGTTCATTTTGGTGTATTTTTGCTGGATTTGGTGTAATTTTTCAATTCAATGCAGATCCTTTAAATCTTGATCGAAAAATAAGGAATCGAAAAGGAAGTAATTTGTTTTTCGACAATTTTATTTTGCCTTTTGTTGTGATTATGACGGATCTGGTGTCATTTTTTATGCAACTCGAGATCTTTAAAAATAAGAGCGAAATATATGAACGCCAGAAAGGAAATCATTGGTTTACACAATAACAAATTGCTTTACATAATTTTACTGTCATTTGAATGATTTTAGTTTTTTTTTTTTCAATTTTTTGGATTTATTAAATACTTTTGAAATGGATGTTGTTCTAACACACTGGAGCTCCCCATAACTTATTAAGGTAAGAATTACTTCCTCACATTTAGTTATAGTTGATCATCTTGTGTAACTTGTTCTAAGTGGTAAGATGCTATAGGTGTTTCCTCAAATTTCTGCACTAAATGGAAAAAATGGTTAAAAACTGTGTACGATGTGATCCGAGTAAGAAAAATGGTCCAATGTGTGGTTATTGCTTTATATCAGGTTTTCCCAATTTTCCTTTTCGTGGCATCCTGGCAATGTATTGCTCACTTTCCAATTTAATTTGAACCATATAATATAAATTTATTAATTTATAAATGTGAAATAACATATTTCTTAAAATTATATAAATTTATAAATATGAAATAAAATATTTTTTAAAATTATATAAATTTGATATTTTGAATAAAAATTTTTACCTGTTCATCATGAAACAGTATATGGAATTCTTTCCAACTCTCACGTTGGTGATGCGATTCATCTATAAAGTCAACTCTCAAGCGCGAAAAAGGTTTATTTGTTCTATTCACTGAATCGAGTGTATCCCAGACTGGCGGCATTATATTTCCGATGTGTTCTGAAAATTATTTTTTTATGATAATTATGGATCAAATCAAATACATAAAGCATTGAATCTTCAAAATTCAGATTTCCATAAAAAAAAAACCACAAATTAGACAATTAGTTAATAAATCACACATCATTTTGAGAATTAAGTTAAGCCATCAATACCGTAAGAAGTTGCCTTGCCGCCGCTACCTTGGTCGTTTGGAGTCACAGCCACTGCTGGCCCGCTCACCTCTTGTTGCTCGTCGGTGGCCACTCCAAGGTCACGCCGCTGGAATACTCCAAGGTCACGGCTTTATAATAAAATTATCATATTGTATTAATAATAGTTTTTACACAAAATATTAATTTTTTTTCATCAAATTAAACTTATTTAATATCCTATCACAATAGTTTTCTAATGTTTACAAAATAACTCGAACTTCGCAGGGATTGTAAATAATGTTTATAAAAATTTCAAATAATTTTCAAAATCCAATTAAGATATTTAAATCAATTACAAAAGTGAATTGAGTTGATCTTTTAATATTTGTTTTATG